CATTCAGTGTGAAGGGGAACCTTAAAAATAGAAACAGGACATGGATGAGAGATTTCCAGGATGCCATCTATAGAAAGTAGACTAATCAGTTAGGGCTAAGCTGGAGTTTAGGTTGTTGAAGCCATGATGAGACCACCTAGAGCTAATGGAAGGCAAGGAGACAGGATGGAAGTTTTTCTTTTATATTGTCTGATGGGAGTCTGCTTTGTCTTCATAACTCTGTGGTGCTCCCGTGGCCCACTGACCACCCTTCTCTGGAGACCCCCTCCTGGCTCTCAGGTAAACTTTACCCTGACCTGATCTGAAAGTGTAGGACTGTTGGCAGCAGAAGGTTAGCCCTACTGTAAAACTTCAGTACAGACAGTTTGCATCATAAGTCAGTCCCCAACAGGACAGGACAAAGAAAGTCCAAAGAAGATCTCACCCTTGAATGTATAAAAACCTAACCCCCTACCCCATCCCTATTCCTGCTCTTTCTCTACCCTGCTCTGTGTTACATGAAGTCCCTCTGCAGCACTATTTAAAGCCTGTTCTGGTCTGTTGAGGTCCCTGCCTTCTTTCTCACCTTTTATCTGCTTGATTTCTCTTAACACTCATGACTTAGTTTCCTAACATTGCTATTATAAAGGTGATATACAGAAGGGTTGCAGTTACATAAGTTGGGTAAAGAGTACATTTCTTTGTGGACAGTGTGACCCCTTCCCTCACCTCCCAGTTTTTCCCTCTTGTCCCCACTCACAAGTTGTATAGTTCATTTTCAACATAGTGTCTAGTAAGTACCACTGCTGCATTTGTTCACCCCTTGTCCCTCCATTTCTGTGTTCCCCCTTACCTTCCCAACCACAGATACTGAGCAAACAATACAAAAAGGAAAAAAAAAAAGAAAACTTGTTTGTTTCCCAGAATTCATTTTGATAAATATGATTTTATATGATGAGAGGCACTGTGCCTCACAGATGGAGTCTTGAAGCTTGTCCATATTGGACTAACCCTGAGTTGTTGAAATGAAGAACAGAAAGATAAATAGATACAGAAAGAAAATTTGTTGAGAGAAGAAAGCAACTAGTGGAAAGCCAAGCCATGCATGAGTACTGGGCAAAGGCTGCGTCTAAGGGGTTCCTCTCACAGACTCAGCTGGGCTGCAAGTGTTTATTTGAATATAAAAGTGATACATTAAGTTAGCCCTCTTTTGCTCAAGGCTAGTACTCTACTACTTGGAGCTACAGTGCTACTTCTGATTTTCTGGTGGTTAATTGGAGATAAGTGTCTCACGGACTTTTTCCTGCCTGGGCTGGCTCGAACCTTGATCCTAAGGTCTCAGCCTCCTGGGTAGGTAGGATTACAGGTGTGAGCCACCAGTGTACAGTAAACTCATTTGGCTAACTCATGTTTCAGCATGTATCCCCCTCCCCCCCATCTTTAATGAGTATGCTCAGATGACACATGATTTCACAATAGTGCTTGTGAGATAAAGTACATTGGCACAATAGTTTCTGCCTCAGCTGCTCTAGTTTTCTTGTGTTCTGGCAATTTAGCAACATAGAATCAGTGCTTAATGGTTCTTTGCACACTATTCTAACATGTTTAGGAACTTTATTTCTTGATGGTACATACTTGTGGCTAACAGTCATAATCCTAGCTACTCAGGAGGCCAAGAGCAGGAGGATCACAGGTGGAGACCAGCCTGGGCAAAACAATTGTGAGGGCTGGGAAGGTGGCTCAGTGGTAGAGCGCTTGCCTTGCATGCCTGAGGCCCTGGGTTCGATTCCTCAGCACCACATAAGCAAAAAGAA